CCCCAAAACCCCAAAACCCCGAATCTCTGAATGATTAATAGTTAGGGATTTAGAGAAATAATATGGCTAGCAACAATGCTTATTATAATAAAATAAAGTATTAATTATTATAGAATTCAATCAATTTATAAAATTAATTAGCCAGTCCAAATTAAGACATAGTATAAATCAAGCAATATATTTTCAAAGAGAGACTTTCTCAAGCAATGATTTCAATTTTAATCTAAGGTATTCGTCGACTTGGTCCCTTATCAATGACTTGAGTTAGGCACCTGTGACTATCACAGCTCCTGAATTTTCAGCAGAATGGCCATTTGGCTAATCCTGACTATCAATAACTAGATGATTCACACTTTGCAAAGTCCTGTCTTTGCTCTATATCTGTGCTAAATGGTTCTCACAGCTTACATTTTTCTCCTAAACATCCTTGGAAATTTCTTCTTTATTAAGCTTTACAGTTTCGCTGCAACTATCAGAGTAGAAATTAAAATCCATGTTAGCCGTTTAAATGGAATTTTTTTAGGAACAATGCTAAACTCTCAATGGTACTTCCTGGTCAACATTTAGACTGATCTCTCGAAGTGGATATCCAAACTCTTGTTCATTTAGTCTACTTTCTCTTAGCAGAGCAGCTTACTCTTGGCGGACTTGCCATTTCTTGAATAAAGCCATGCAAATCTTGGCTTCTGTGTGCTAAAAATAAAATTAATAATGTTTAATACAGCATAAGGAAATGGCCTCTTATGGAATAGAAGATTAAGCTGTTCCTTGCAAAGAGTTTTGATTTAGCATTAAGGCTCACTTAAACTGACATTGAACATTACTGAGCAATCAATTGGCTTTCCAAATCTTTCATATTCTTCGCAAAGCATATCTGACCAGATTCCAAAATCATTGAGTTTCAAATAGATGTGATAGCCAATAACTCTCCTTCCTTTGATTAGCTCAAGAACTTTCTGTCGGACTTTGTCTGTTGATGGACCTTTGGCTTTGGCTAAATTCTTAATCTGAGTCCTTAGTCCTGACTTTACCACAATCATTGAATCTTATTGAAATGAGATTGAAATAATTACCATCAACTTTGATGAATGTGTCCAAAACTCTCTCTCCTTTCTCATTAATAAGTGTTACTCTTAAGTATTTTAATGAGATTATAACTTACCTAGATGCAACTTTTGTATTATCAAACTTGGTGTATGACTCCATTGATAAAGCAAGTATGGATGTGAGTCTGGAAAAATATCATTGAGAAATAAAACCTTACTCTCCTTTCTAAGAGCTAGGGACACTGAGAATATCTTCATACTCAACAGGCAGATCCTTGTTGTCAGGAACAATGGTAAAACTCTCCTTCTTAAACCAAAGTTCTGTGAATCCTGGCTCTAACAAATTTTCTCCAACATTTAAGAGTTTCATAGATGCATTTGGTCTGTAATATGTAGCAGTTTGGCTCACTTTCTCTTCTTCTTTGGGATTAGAAATCTCAGATGAAATAGTAAGGTTCAGTGTAGAATCCATAATAGTCAGTTGTTGAGGCTAGAAATAAAAAACTCTTAGTTATAATTATAAATTTTTTTTAAGATCATCAAATATCTTCAATCTCTAAATTTCCTATTAAGTATAGCAACTTGGGGTTTTGGGGTTTTGGGGTTTTGGGG